CCGGGACGCGCTGGCTGGGGCAAGGAGGGCGGCTCAGTGAGGCTGAGAGGCAGGCGGGACGGGGAGGTGGCTGGGGTCAGGAGCCGCCCGACCGGGGCTGGATCACACTGGCTGTGGTCTCCGCCGTGGTTCTCTGCTTCTGGAACTGAGATAAGGGTGTGGACGCCCTTCCTGTGCCTCGGGGTGCCACGGCGGCTGGGGAGGGGTCCTCAGAGGCAGAGGCGAGTGCTGGGGGACTCTGCGGGGTGGGGGTCCAAGGGGTGAGAGATCGGGAGTGACGTGCAGCCCCATCGTGGCCAGGGGGCGCTGAGAGCACCTTTCCTCCTGGGCGGGAGGGGCTGCGTGGGGGCCAGGTGGCAGGCGGGAGGGGTGGGCTCTGGCCGGCCCAGACCCGTCCTGGAGGTCCCGGGTGCTGAGCCAGCAGTGGGGACACAGCCTTGGGCTCTGGTGGGTGCCAGCGACACGAAGTTGGGCCTGAGGTGGTCCTGGCACGCCAGGCATGTGGCCCCCACAGCCGCCCTGGGCTGGAGACCACTGAGGCTGGACCCAGTTCTGGGGAGGGGGCCCGGGCCCAGGCTGGACACGGCGCGGCTCTGCTCCCTCCCAGACCCAGTGGGCTGTCCCGCGGCTGCTCTGGGGGGGCGGGTCCTGCCCAGGGCGGCCTCAGCGCCACCTTCTTCACTCCTGAGCTGGACGCGGCCAGCACCGCAGTTCATTAGGTGGTGAAATTAGATTCCAGGCTGCGGCATCCGCTGGCCCTAATGGACAGGGACGAGGGGGCGGGAGTCCCCCAGGAGCCTGGTTGTGGCTCTGGGCCAGAGGCGCCTGCCTCGGCCTCATGCTGGCCGCACGCTGCCCGGGGCCCTGGGAACTGCGATTGTGTTGGAGGGTCCCCTGCCGTGGAAGAGGGGTGCTGCCGTCCACTCGGGCTCCTTGGCCCCTGTACCTGAGCAGGAAGGAGACACGGCTGGCCGGGGGGCGTGGCGTCTGGGGTGGGGCTGGGGCCGAGTGCCGCCCACCCTGCCGCCCCGTCACAGTTCTCATCATACCTGTGACGGGAGACGGTCAGCCTGGCCCACAGTCCCTGGTCACAGAAGGTGGGGTCCGGGCTGCAGGCCCGACCTGGTGGAGTGAACTCAGGCGCAAGGGGCCAGCTGCCTGCTCAGGGATGGTGGGGCGGGGACAGCAGGCGTCTGTCCCTGGGGGCTCCCTCGAGGGCAAGGACAGGCACATGGTGTGCACCCCCACGCCCTCCTGCGGCCCCTGGGGGCCCACAGCACCACGCCCCTTCCCCAGGCCCCAGCCCCGCTCTTTAGGGGACCTGGCTCTGCTCGGAGCTCAGGCCCTGCAGAGCGGCCTCCGCCCTCCCTGTGGCCTCTCTTGCCACTGGACGTGGCTGTGTGGGACCCAGCGGCTCCCAGTGCTCGTTCCCCACGCAGCAGCCATGTCCCCGACTGTCCCAGGTCCCCGCTGCCCCATCTTGACCCCAGGACTGTGCCCATCTCCTTGGTGACATCTCCAGGGATTGGTATCGTAACCGGCCTCTGCTGGCCGCCCTACCTGGCCTCTCCCGCCCAGAGCGGGTGGCCATGGCTCTGTGGCCCGGAGCTCCTGTTCCTCACCTGCCCCCTGGGCCAGGTCGGGGCCCGTGGGGGTTGGGCCGAGCCGAAGGCCCCTGGACACGCGGCCCTCTGAGCACCCAGGCTGTCCCGGCCCTGTGGTGGGGGTCCTGGGATGGGGCCCAGGCGGGAGGTCCCAGGGGGCACACGGAACCTCTGGCTTCTCAGGTGGTCTGTTTCTCGCTTGATCTGAGTGGGGGGCGGAGCCCTGGGCACCACCCGGACTCTGGGCACAGACGCCTCGTCCGTTTTTTTTAAGATTTATGTATTTATTTGAAAGGCAGAGTTATAGAGAGGCATATAGAGAGGCAGGGCAGAGAGAGAGAGAGAGAGAGGGAGAGAGAGAGGGGGAGGGAGGGAGGGAGGGAGGGAGAGGTCTTCTATCCACTGGTTCACTTCCCAGATGGCTGCAATGGTTGTAGCTGAGCTGATCTGAAGCCAGGAGCCAGGAGCCAGGAGCCAGGAGCTTCTTCCAGGTCTCCCACATGGGTGCAGGGACCCAAGGGCTTGGGCCATCCTCCACTGCTTTCCCAGGCCACAGCAGAGCTGGATGGGAAGTGGGGCAGCTGGGACTGGAACCGGGGTTCATATGGGATGCCGGCACTGCAGGCGACGGTTTTACTCACTGTGCCACAGCGCCAGCCCTGGACACCTGGTCTTTCCCAAGCACTCTTCCCGATGTGTCCCCGCCAAGTCTCCCAGCCCCCAGCCCCCGAGCGCTCCTGCGCATGGAGCCGTCTCTTCCAAAAGTGGAAAAAGAAGCTTGGCTCTGAGGCCACAGCCAGGCCTTCCGGGATGTTCCGCGGCTCGGGCGGGAATGTCATGGCCTCGTCCACACGTAGCCTGTCTTCAGTTTCCAGAATGTTCTGGGATGCCTGACTGACAGGGCCTGGTCATCGTGGGACCTTGGTTCTTTCCTAGTTTGCAGGTGTGCCTTCCTAGTGGGAGGAGCTGGTCTTCCCAGCCACACCCCTCCCCTCCCCTAAGGGTCCTGCCCTGTGGACACCTCCTCCAGGAAGCCTGCCAGGTCTGCCCGTCCACGCTACTGAGCCAAGCTCTGGTGCCCTTGCTGTGTCCTGACCCAAAACTGCCACCACCCAGTCCTCCCGGGCCCCGACCCGAGGCCGAGAACCCCTGTCCATCCCGCTCCCTGCCCACTGACCGAGTCAGAGAAGACACCAGCAGGCAGCTGGGAGTCAGAGCAGAAGGCGCAGGGGCGGTTGCCTGTGCTCAGGGCCGGGTAATTGAATAAATCGCCTAATGAGCGAAGGAAATTAATTGCAGTTTGAAATGTGACCGTTCCTTTGCGGTGTTCAGTCTGTGCCAGCGGGCGCTGCCAGCGCCTCCGCCCAGGGCCGGGAAGCTCGGGCGACAGCATCAGGGGACCCTCAGCTGCTGGCCTGCGTCAGGGCTGGAGGTGGTCAGCGGGCAGGCGGCGCCTCCCGCTGGGTGCTGGTCGCCGGCCAGACAGGGAGAGACCCCGAGTCAGCCGTTGTGGGCGCAGGCGCGGTGGCCCGGGGCGCTGGGGAGACAAGGGAGGGGTGTGGTACAGGGCCAGGCTGTCCAGCTGCGGATGTGGTGGGCTCGAGTCGGTTCCCGCACAGCCCTGGGCCCTCAGCCTCTGCCCGCAGGGGCCCTGACGCCACCTGCTCCCGGGCTGGGGCCTCGGGCGGGGCCGGCCCTGGCGTCCTTGCTGGCACAGGAGCCCCGGTTCCCGCTAGTGGCGCGGATGGGACCTGCTGGGGGCGAGGGCGGCGCCTGCTCCCCGCCTCCCCACAGCCCTGACCGTGGGCGCTGATCAGGGCGCGTCCGCCCCAACTGCTGAGTCAGCCGGTCCTGCTGCCAGGGCTCCGTGTCCTCACTCACCAGTGCCGGCCAGGTTCGTGGCGCCCAGTGGCTGGGCAGGAATGACAGATGTGGCTGTGTGTTCAGGGAGTGGATGTTGGGTGCAGCGGGGGCAGAGATGGGCGCAGCCGGCTGAGCGCTGGTGGGCTGTGGGGGGCCTGCTGGGGGCGGGAGGGGGTGTGCTGTCCTGCTGAGTTGCATTCCCCCAACGCCCAAGGCTCAGGTGGGGACGCAGAGGCCGCCCACCAGGGTCCCCAGGCCCTCACTGCCACAGCTGTGCCCAGCCCTGGGGGGATCCTGGCCTTTCACCTGGTCCCGATAGCTCCCTGTGCCTGGGGTCTGTCCCCCTTCCCTCGCTGGCTCTTCTGCCCGGGGAGGGGTCGTGGTGGGAACAGGAAGCGACCACAGCATGTCTCAAGCACTGGCTGGTGTAACGTCACCCAAGGAGGAGGCTCCAGGTCCCGCGGCCGCCCAGTGGTTGTTCCCACAAAGGTCCTGGGTGGGCTCCTGTGTCCCCAACACAACCCAGATCCCGGATCGAGAGCCCACTGTGGGGAGTGAGGTGGGTGTGTTCAGTCCACTGTGGCTGCCCAGGGGCTCAAGTCACCTGGGTTAGGGGGGCCCCCTAAAGAGGTTGTGCTCATGGTCAGTGCCCAGACCTGCTGGGGGGGCCTGGGGAACATTCCACCTTATGAGTGGGTGGGGCCAGCAGGCAGGGTGGCAGGCTGGACCATGGTGGGCAGGGCCAGCAGGAGGGAGGTCAGCTGGACCGTGGGTGGGCGGGGCCAGCGGGCAGGAGGACAGGTGGGCTGTGGGCGGGGCTAGAGTGAGGGAGAACAGACTGGGTCAGGGCTGGGTGGGGTGAACGGAGGTTCTGGGAGTCGGGGAGGGTCTGCCTCTGGTGACCCCAGGGCAGGGGCAAGCTCTGTTGTCGGACTCCAGGACAGGAGCCCAGAGCAGGATGGTGGGGCAGGCTGGTGTGGACACTGGCCGACGCTGCGCAGGGAGCACTTGGGAGGACTCACCGACCGCCTGGACCTGTCCCTGTCGCATCCCAGGTCAACTCCTGTGGGTGACACAGGTTTTCCGGCCAGCTCCGGCCGCACGGGGCGCACCGTGGGTGGGGTGAGGCCCTGCTTCCCTCTGTGGCTCCCTGGGGCGGGACAGGCAGCCGAGCCCACTGCAGGCCGGCAGGAGCCAGGGCGCGGGGAGCACTCTGGCCGGGAGCTGGGCTCGCGCGGGCAGGGCGGGGGAAGAGCTCCCAGTGGAGGACGGTGAAGGGTGGGGGAGAGAGACTGGCCGAGAACGAGGCTCCTGCAGGATGCGAACCCGAGCCTGCTGCCCTCCAGGACAAGGCCAGCACGGGGGCGGAGCTCTGTGCCCTGGGCAGGGCGGAGCAGGGCTCCCGTTCTGCCCCAGTCCTGGAGATGTGGCTAAGCAGGGGCCCTCAGGGCTGACAGCAGAGGGGGTGGGCACAGTGTGTCCTTGGGGGCCCTGTGCCCGGTGCCGGCCCTGAGAGCCCCTCCCCGCCCCCAGGTTCCTCCTGGTCTTCTCGTGCCTCGTGCTGTCCGTCTTCTCCACCATCAAGGAGTACGAGAAGAGCTCCGAGGGCGCCCTCTACATCCTGGTGAGCCCCTGCCCCACCCCCACCTCCAGGGCCCGGGGTGGTCCTGGGGCAGGACCCCCTCGCACCACCAGGCCCTGTGCACAAGGAGGCTGTGCTGACCCAGCGGCCCCCACAGTGGCCCCTAGCCCCTTCCCAGCAGCCTCCCCTCCCCCCAAAACCCTCAGTACCAGGCTAGCCCCAGCCACCCCGTGGGCGAGTAACTCAGCCCCGCCTCCCTGGTGATGTCACAGCCCTGGCAGCCCCCCTCCCTTCCCCATGATGTCATCGCTCCCCCTCCCTTCCCTGTGATGTCACAGCACCTGAGAGCCGCATCCACTCTTCGTGGTGATGTCACACCACACAGCAATCCCACCTTCCACTCTGGCCCCGCCTTCCCCTCCCCCATGGGGGTGCTCCCTGTAGAGGTGGGAGCCTGGGGCGGGGCTGTGATGCTCACAGCAGCTCCCTGTGTGGGCGCCATGGCAACGGGAGTGTGATTTTGTGTTGCTGTTGGAAACGGGAAATGGCCCCTCAGGGCCACCAGAAAGCCCCGCCCCCGCCCGCCTGCCCCCTGTCCTGCAAGTGCTGAGAAGGCGGTGCCCTTGCTGCCCACCCGGACCCTCAGCCCAGCCCGGCACAGGCCCCGCCCCGCTCACGGAGGCTGAGTGGGGGGTGCCGAGCAGGGCCTCTGAGGCCTCCGGGCGCTGCGGCCCCGCCCCTGCTCGTGGCGCCAGCGGCTCCCTCCCTGCAGGAAATCGTGACCATCGTGGTGTTCGGCGTGGAGTACTTTGTGCGGATCTGGGCCGCCGGCTGCTGCTGCCGGTACCGCGGCTGGAGGGGGCGGCTCAAGTTTGCCCGAAAGCCGTTCTGTGTGATCGGTGAGTCCCTGCGGGGGCGTCAGCACGCGGGGACGGCGGCTTCTGGAGGAGGGGAGGCGGGGTCCGGCCTGGCCCCGGCCATGGCCCAGCCGCGCCCTCGCCGTCCGCAGACATCATGGTGCTCGTCGCCTCCATCGCGGTGCTGGCCGCCGGCTCCCAGGGCAACGTCTTTGCCACCTCGGCGCTGCGCAGCCTGCGGTTCCTGCAGATCCTGCGCATGATCCGGATGGACCGCAGGGGCGGCACCTGGAAGCTGCTGGGCTCCGTGGTCTACGCCCACAGCAAGGTGAGGGGTCCTGGGGTGGGCCGGGGGTGCCGGCCTCACGCCCGCTCCGTGGCGCTCTGCCCGTGGCTGGCAGCCCAGCCCGAGTGCAGACACCGCCTCGTCCCTGCCCCGGGGTCCTGCCCGGCCTGGCTGTGCTGAGGCCACCCCGGGTGGGCTCTGCTTGCCCAAGCAACCCCTTCCCCGCTCGCGTCCTGAGTCATCTCAGGACAGGCAGCAGGGGGGAGGGACTCCCACCCCAGGGTCCACTCTGCCCTGCCCTGGACGCTGTGGATGTGGGGTCCAGCCGTGCCGGGCATCTCCCTCCTAGCGGGCGGGCAGGGCACTGGCCAGCTGCTGGGTGTGCTCACGCCAGCTGTGCCCCTGCTGGCAGGAGCTGGTCACCGCCTGGTACATCGGCTTTCTCTGCCTGATCCTGGCCTCGTTCCTGGTGTACCTGGCCGAGAAGGGGGAGAATGACCACTTTGACACCTACGCGGACGCGCTCTGGTGGGGCCTGGTGAGTCCACTGCCCTTACTCCCCCACCCTCCTGCCGCCCACCCTGCTCTGCCTGCTCGGTCCACTGGGGGTCCTGCCCACCCCTGGCCACAATGGCTGTGCTGGCTGCGGTACCTCAGTGGGGGAGGCCGTGGGGTTCTCTTCCTCCCTCCACACTAACCGTGCCCCTCACCCACTGCGCCTGCTTCACGCAGGACTGGACAAGAAGAGAGGGGCCAGGGGTGCAGGACCAAGACAGGGGAGGGGCAGCACCTGGAGCAGGGCCTGGGTGGCCCCAGCTCCGTCCTGGGGGCCCCGTGGCGTCGCAGCTGCCCCGTCCTGGCCCCAGTCCAGCTCCTCATGGGCAGGGCCACTCTGGCTCCCCTGTTCTTCACCTTCCAGGCTGCAGCCCTCACTCAGGGCCACCAGCTCCCGGCCCAGCCCCTGCCCTTGCCCCTGTGGACCCCAGCACCTGTGCTTTGCTCAGGGTCTCTGAGAAGGCTTGCTGCCCTGCTGTTCAAAGTGGGCCCACTCTCCCCACCACGGCCCACTCCAACCCCGCCACAGCCCACTGTCCCCGCCATGGCCCACTGTCCCCGCCACGGTCCACTCCAACCCCGCCACGGCCCACTGTCCCCGCCATGGCCCACTCTCCCCCTACAGCCCTCTGTCCCCACCATGGCCCACTGCCCCCCCACCCCGTGGCACACTCTACCCCCTCCCACGGCCCACTCTTCCCCCGCCCCCCATGGCACACTCTGCCCCACCATGGCCCACTCCAACCCTGCCACAGCCCAGTGTCCCTGCCACAGTCCACTCCAACCCCGCCACGGTCCACTCCAACCCCGCCACAGCCCACTGTCCCCGCCACGGTCCACTCCAACCCCGCCACAGCCCACTGTCCCCGCCACGGTCCACTCCAACCCCGCCACAGCCCACTGTCCCCGCCACGGCCCACTCTCCCCCCCCATGGCCCACTCTCCCCCCCGTGGCACACTCTGCCCCCCCCCCATGGCACACTCTGCCCCGCCACTGCCCACTCCAACCCTGCCACAGCCCACTCTCCCTCTACAGCCCTCTGTCCCCACCATGGCCCACTCCCCCCCCCACCCCGTGGCACACTCTGCCCCCCCATGGCACACTCTGCCCCGCCACTACCCACTCTGGCTTTCTTTGGGGTCATCTCTGGGTCACAGAGAGCAGGCCATGCTGGAGTGCCTGACACAGTGACCCTCGTCATCCACGTTCTGCCGGCCCCTTCCCAGTCCCCCAAAGCTGTGGTCCCGGGACTGGGGGTCCCACCCCTCACCCTCCCCAGCTGGGCCTGCCCTGGCTGTGGCCTGACTTCCTCAGTCTGGGGTTTTCCTGGTTTGGGGGATCAGGTGCAGAAGTGGGTGCACTCGTGGCTGGGGTGGGGCTGTCCAGGCTGGTGCAGATTTCCGGGGACACAGCCCAGGTGCCGTGGGGTTCCCTGGCTCCCGTCCACACAGGCCGACCCCTGGCCCATCTGCCTCTCCCGTCCACACAGGCCGACCCCTGGCCCATCTGCCTCTCCCGTCCACACAGGCCAATCCCTGGCCCATCTGCCTCTCCCGTCCACACAGGCCGACCCCTGCCCCATCTGCCTCTCCCGTCCACACAGGCCGACCCCTGCCCCATCTGCCTCTCCCATCGCCCCACGTTTTGGTCTCCTTTGCTGTCAGACTTGAGGTTTGGGGGCGTGGCAGTGGATTAGGGTTTCGCGTCCTCAGTATAGTTGTTGGGTGGAGAGGAGTGGGTGACCCAGGTGGTGCTGGGAGCCCAGCCAAGGGGAGGTTCCGTGGTCAGAGGGTCTCCCTGGCCTCAGCTGCTGCCTGTGGCCAGTCTCCTGCGTGTGCAGTTCTAGTTGGCAGGGTCTGTCTGGGTGAGGGGCTGTGCCCGGCGCCCGACTTTCCTGCCTCCTCCTGTGCCCACGTCCGCTCCTGGAGACCTGTCCTGGGCCCTGCTCACCACCCGGCCCCTGGGGAGCTGCTTCAGCTCCGGGGGTCAGCAGGGAGGCCCACCCTGGCCTCGTGTGTCTGAGAGAAGAGCAGAGTGCCAGGACCTCCCGAGGGACCTGAGAGCCCCCACACGCCTCTCTGGGGGGCGTCCACCTCCTGCCCCTCCGCGGTCACCTCTTGTCTGCCTCTGCTGGCCTCCCCGCACCTCCCGGCCAGGTGTCCCTGAGCCGCTCCTCTGGCCTCGGCTGGCCCTGGTGCGGCCCCATCTCCGCCCTCCAGGTCTCTCCGGCCTTGCTGCCTCTCCCGGGCCCCCACCCCACCTCGGGGCTGTCGCAGGCTCGACCTCAGCCCTTGGGTCGGGGGACTTCCCCTCGCTTCTGCCCCCCGGTGGGATTTGTGTCATTGCTCCCCTGGCCCTCGGAGTGACCACCCCTCCAGTATGCAGGGGAGGGGACGTGGGGGTCTGGTGGTGTTGTAGGGGTGAAGCTGGCCAGCGCTAACCCTGGCCTCATGGAACCTCGTGTGGACAGCAGGGAGCAGGTGGCCTTTGTCTGCCCCAGCCCAGGGCCCAGGTGGAGTCCAGGTGCCCTCAAGGCCAGCCACCAAGCCTCGTGTGGGCCCTGGACAATGGAGCAGACTGGCTGAGGGTCATGGGTCTCCGTGGTGGCCACTGCAGGCCTGGCCACATGACCGGTGTGCGCTGTCCCTAGATCACCCTGACCACCATCGGCTACGGGGACAAGTACCCCCAGACCTGGAACGGGAGGCTCCTGGCCGCCACCTTCACCCTCATCGGGGTCTCCTTCTTCGCGCTGCCTGCAGTGAGTCCTGGGTCCCTCCCACCCTTGGGGTGGGGGCCTCTGGTTCTCCCGAGGGTCGTGCAGGCTCCCAGGGTGGCCACAGCCGCCCTTGCTGGTCAGGTCCCCCCCCCCCGGGAGAGCAGTGGGAGGAGGGGCTCCCCAGCAGGGTCTGCTGCGGTGCAGGAGGCCCCCTCCCCACAGAGCCTGAGCAGGGGCTGCCTCAGAAGCCGTGCCCTGGGGTTGGTCTCCTGGTCCGCAGGCCCCCAGGCCTCCCCACATCTGCCTTCCCGCTCGGCTCTTGGTCCCTGGTGGCTCCGCCCAGGCACTGCCAGGTCTCCAGGGGACCCAAGGCTCTCTCCGGTCCCTGTCTGCAGGGTGGGGGGGGGGGACTGTGGCCTCCAGGGTCTCCTTCCACCGGCTCATGCGGCGCTTCTGTGACTGGAGGCTCCTCCTTGACCACGCCTGAGGGGTACCCAGCCTGGTCCCAGGGCCGGGGGGCAGGAAGGCGGTGCCCAGGGGCCTGGTGCGGGCTGGGCTGCGGCGGGTGGCTCTGGGCCTGGGCTGACCCTGCCCCTCGCAGGGCATCCTGGGCTCCGGCTTTGCCCTGAAGGTGCAGGAGCAGCACCGGCAGAAGCACTTCGAGAAGAGGCGGAACCCGGCCGCTGGCCTGATCCAGGTGAGCCGGCACTGGGGCCTGCCCGTCCACTCAGGCCACGCCCTGTCCCTGTGCGGCAAGGACGTCTCAGTCTGCCGGGAGACCTCGGACACGGGGGTGGGGGGACAACAGCAGCCTCACCCCCACGACCCCCAGCACAGGGGCCCACAGGTGGTGAGCGGGCTCTGGGCAGCAGGCACCGTGCCGGCCTGCGCTGGGCTCAGCCGGGTGTTGAAGGGGTGGGGCGGCCTGGCCCGGGTGTGCTGAGCCCTGGAACCTTCGGCCACACCCACCAGGCCTCTCGTAGGGTCTCCTGCTGGCCAGGGGCCCTGGGCTCTCCTGTCCTCCCTGACTGGAGCCGTGGTGCACGTGGTCTCGGCCCTGTGTCCAGCCTGCACTTTCTGCCCATGGATTTTGTCATCTCCATGGAAACGAGAGAGCATGGGGGAACCTGGCTGCCCCCCCCCAACAAGCGCCTTCCTCTGGGGGCAGCTGACCTGCGCGGGGTCTGAGCCGCCCCAGGCCTGGAGAGGCCAGAGGCCCGGGTGACCCAGTTGCAAAGCGGTGCTGGGCGGGGCAGGAGATGACCAGCAGGACAGCAGCCGGCTGCTGCTGGCTGCCCCTCACTCAGCCCTGGCAGCTGGAGGAGCCACCCTGGGCGTGGATGAAGCTGGCGTGTGGGGGAGATTGCACGGGGGGGCAGCCGGAGCCTGGCCCTGCGGGTGGACCCTGCGGCCATCCTGGGGGTGTGGCGGCCCCTGCCCTGCGTGCCCAGGCGCCGCTGACCCTCTCCTGGGCCGTGTGTCCCTCAGTCGGCCTGGAGGTTCTACGCCACCAACCTGTCACGCACGGACCTGCACTCGACCTGGCAGTACTACGAGCGCACGGTGACCGTGCCCATGTACAGGTACCGCCCGCCGCCGCCCGGACCCCGTCTCTGGTCATCGCTCAGTTTTCGCTTCGTTGATTTTTGGTTCTTTTTTCTTTGAAATGCGTTTTTCACAGAGGAACTGTGTGTGCCTCATTTCCGAGTATTAATTTTGTTCTTTGTTTTGTAGCGTTTCGTTTTTCATCCTCATTTTCCCGCCCCTTTGCTTTCTGTCCCTGGCTGTGGGTGTGGTGAGCGTGAAGACAAGCCCCGCCCCCGAGGGCCTGGACCAGGTAAAGGCCTGGTGGACGCCCCAGGCGCAGGGGAGCGGCCAGGTTCCAGCCAGGACCCAGAGGCCTGGGGGTTGGGGCAGAGCTTGCTGGCCTCCCAGGCAGGACAGGATCTGGGGAGCAGGCAGAGGAACCTGGGGTACACAGCAGAGCCTCCTGGGGGAGCAGGCAGAGCAGCCCCGGGCGTGGGCACAGCCCCTGCTCAGAGCCCCCGGCTGTTTCTGGCTGTTTGCGCAGTAGCCGGCAGATGTGGCACTGCTGGGCCGGGCTGGGCTGAGGCTGGGGATGGGGCAGAGGCCCACGGAGCACACGCTGGGGCTGTGTTCACACTGGGGGCGCAGCAGGCCGCCTCCCTGCTCTGAGCGTGTGGGGCTGGGTCTGACTTCTCAGGCCAGGGACTCCCCTTACCTGTCCCAGGTGCGCAGCAGGTGGGGAGGTCGTCTGAGGGCCGCGGCCTCAGAACCCCCACCTGTATGCCTCCGTGCACTGTCACCTGGGCGAGGGTGGGGGCCGCTCTCCCCCGACCCAGCATCCTGCACCCCCCACCTCCTGGGAGACCCCGCCCGGGGCCTGGGCGCAGCGCCCCAGGCCGGGCCAACCCGGAGCTAATTCTCTTTGTTCTGTTGTCCCCCCCCCCCCCGCTCTTTTCCATTTTCTTTTTCTTATCCCGTTCTCCACAATCCCTGCTCCCCCTCCCCCCTTGTAAAGCTCGCAAGCTCAAACCTACGGGGCCTCCAGGTAGGAGCTGCATGGGCCGGAAGCCGTGTGTGGTCCTTGTGGTCTGGGCGTGGCCCTGCACCGGCCAGCGTCTGGTCCCCCCCCGCCCCCGTGTCCTCCCCTGGTCCCTCCCTCCCCCCTCCCCCAGTCCCGCTTCCTGTCTCGTTCCCTGACCCCAGCCCCCCGCACTGGGGCCCCCAGCTGCCCAGCAGCAGGGAGGGGAGTCCCGTTGCTCCACCGGTGTCCACTGGGCGGCTCTCCAGGCCATACGGGGGCCTGGCTCCAGAGGGTGCCAGGAGCTGCAACTGGAGCCCAGCCCTGGGCACTGTGGGATGGGCATGGCTGTGGCTGACCTTGTCCAGCCCTCGTGGGCTCCTCCCCGAGTGACCCACGCCCAGCACCCTCCTGCTGTGCACCCAGCACCTTCCCGCACCAGGCTGCCCGTGGGAGGCCTGCCTCAGGCCCTACCGGCTTCTGGAGTGCCCCGGTCGGGCCCCAGTGCCCACAGTGTGGCACGTTCTCCTCACCCTCCACGACTGCTCCGGTCACCGGGGCTGTGTCTGGCCCTGCCAAGGCCCCATCCCCACATCTGATCCCGCGTCTGTGTCCCCTGCGTCTGACCCTGTGGCTGTCCCCGTGTCTGTGCCCTCCCTGCCCCCCACGTCGGCCCCTGCTGCCCTGAGTGTCCAGGCATGGTGCCCGTCGGCTCTGATGTTGTCTAACCCGAGCCTGTGTGGGGCGGGGCAGGGAGCTGTCGGGTGGGGATGGGGAGGTTGCTGAGCTGGGCAGACTCCGCCCACCAGGGGTTCTGCTCGCTGGCGCCGGCTCACTAACCAACTGCCTGTGTCCTGCTTGACCCTGGGAGGTGGGCAGCCCTGGGAGGGAAGCAGGTGGGGGTGGGCTCACAGGTCTGCGGGGCCTGCAGAGGGTCCCGTGGGGCCAGGTGTGGGCCCTGCTCAGCCTGTCTGGGGGCACGCAGGCTGGGGGCCGCCCTGTGGGCAGGTGGAGGGGCAGGGGGAGGTCAGAGCCAGGAGTGCAGCTGGGTGTGACAGAGGCCCCCTGGAGCCAGCAGCCCTGCTCTTAAGGGCCACCAAGCATTTGAGCAGGGGCACGGCCAGGATGTTGGGCGGGGTGGGGGCCGAGAGGAGTGGAGGGGGTGCGGGGGGGCGCCTCTCGAGGCTGGGGGTGCTCAGGGCTGTGGGTGGCATCTTCAGGAAGCTGAGGGGTTGAGAAGGGGTGGAGCGGGCAGGGGTGGGGCCTGGCAGTGAAGGTGCAGAGGGTGGGCGGGGGGGAGGGGTGGAGGGGACTCACAGCCTCGTCTTCCCGGGGGAGCTGGGCCCGGGCCCTGTCCCTGGTCTTGCAGCCGGAGAGCTGGGCCCGGGCCCTGTCCCTGGTCTTGCAGCCGGAGAGCTGGGCCCGGGCCCTGTCCCTGGTCTTGCAGCCGTGGCTGTGGCGCCAGCAGGTGGGGCTGCCTGCAGGGAGGGCCCGGGACCCTGGCTGTGTGGGGCGGCTCGGGCGGCTCAGGCGGCTCAAGGGTGGCCCCCTTTCTGCTCGGGTGCGCTGGTGACAGCCGGCGCTGCTGCTGGCCGCCGTCCCTGGCTGCCCGTGCCCGCCCGCGCGGGACGCTCACGGCCGCCTCCTCTCGCCAGGCTCATCCCACCGCTCAACCAGCTGGAGCTCCTGAGGAACCTGAAGAGCAAGTCTGGGCTCACCTTCAGGTCGGCGCCTTGGGGTGGGGGGGCCAGCCTCGGGGTCCCAGCCAGCCTCGGGGGGCCCGCCAGCCTCGGGGTCACAGCCAGCCTCGGGGGGGCAGCCAGCCTCGGGGTCCCAGCCAGCCTCGGGGTCCCGGCCAGCCTCGGGGTCCCAGCCAGCCTCGGGGTCCCAGCCAGCCTCGGGGGGCCTGCCAGCAACAGGGGGCCAGCCAGCCTCGGGGCCCAGGGTGGGAGGGACGGGACCTGGGAGTGGGAGCCACGGGCTGCTGGCTCTCGTTGTGTCACAAGATCTTTGACCTGGAGTGGCTGGTACAGACAGGGGAGCAGACATGGGGTGCAGTGATGGGGGTGCAGATATGGGGTGCAGACACGGGGGTGCAGACACGGGCGTGCAGACTTGGGGTGCAGACACGGGGGTGCAGACATGGGGAGCAGTGATGGGGGTGCAGTGATGGGGTGCAGTGATGGGGAGCAGACATGGGGGTGCACACACAGGCGTGCAGACATGGGGAGCAGACATGGGGTGCAGACACGGGCGTGCAGACATGGGGTGCAGACATGGGGATGCAGACATGGGGTGCAGACATGGGGGTACAGTGATGGGGGTGCAGACATGGGGATGCAGACATGGGGATGCAGACATGGGGATGCAGACATGGGGGTACAGTGATGGGGGTGCAGACATGGGGATGCAGACATGGGGGTACAGTGATGGGGAGCAGACATGGGGGGTGCAGACATGGGGGTACAGTGATGGGGGTGCAGTGATGGGGAGCAGACATGGGGAGCAGTGATGGGGAGCAGACATGGGGGTGCAGACACGGGCGTGCAGACTTGGGGTGCAGACTTGGGGTGCAGACACGGGCGTGCAGACATGGGGGTATAGTGATGGGGGTGCAGACACGGGGTGCAGACATGGGGTGCAGTGATGGGGGAGCAGACACGGGGGTGCAGTGCTGGGGGTGCAGACATGGGGTGCAGTGATCGGGGTGCAGACATGGGGTACAGACACGGGGTGCAGCAGGCCTGGTCTGCTCAGTGGGAGAGTTGGAGAGCGAGCGTCCTGTGGTCCTTGGTCCTGTGGTCCTGTGGTCCTGTGCTAAGGGCACCATAGCGTCTCCGCAGACCGGCAGGTGGGAGGGTGGTCCCTGCCCCCCAGAGGAAGCTCTGTACTCTGGAACCTGTGCCCGATCTCAAGAGGAGAGCACCCCAGATTGCCCGGGTAGACCCCAAGTCCAGGGCCCAGGTCCTTGCCAGGAGAGGCAGGTGTGGAGCTCACATGGGGGAAGCCCCAGGGAGATGGAGGCAGAGAGCACCTGCTGCCACCTGGGGTCACCTGGGGTCACCTGGAGCCCCGGGGGCTGGGAGGGGCGGGGCTCCCTCTGGCCTCCAGGGCTGGTCAAGAATCCATTTTACAGGCCAGCTCCTCCGCCTAGCGGCGCCGGCACACCGGGTTCTAGTCCCGGTTGGGGCGCCGGATTCTGTCCCGGTTGCCCCTCTTCCAGGCCAGCTCTCTGCTGTGGCCAGGGAGTGCAGTGGAGGATGGCCCAGGTGCTTGGGCCCTGCACCCCATGGGAGACCAGGAAAAGCACCTGGCTCCTGGCTCCTGCCATCGGATCAGCGCAGTGCGCCGGCCGCAGCGCGCTGGCCGCGGCGGCCATTGGAGGGTGAACCAACGGCAAAGGAAGACCTTTCTCTCTGTCTCTCTCTCTCTCTGTCCACTCTGCCTGTCAAAAAAAAAAAAAAAAAAAAAAAAAAAAAGAATCCGTTTTACTTAAGCCCAGATCCGTTGTCTTGGGTAGCATGGTCTGGGAGGCGGTGGCAGAGGCTGGAGGGGGAGGCTGGGGGGTGGGGTGTTTCTGGCAAGGGCTCCGGGAACCGTGGGTGCTCCCTTGGTGGCTGTGGATTGGTGAGTGGCAGCTCGGCTGGTTTCCCAGCGACTGACTTCCTGTTGTTGGCAGTGAATTCTAGAGCAGAGGGAGAAACCAGGACTTGAGGGCTTGGGGGTGGTCTTGGCGGAGGTCGTGCAGCTAAGGATGTGGGGCTGAGGCTGCCCTAAGTTCTCCAGGTGGGCCCCAAGCCCAGCCCCTGTGCTCATCAGACAGACGAGGGCCAGGGAGAAACGAAGGAGCAGCACGGAGCCCAGCTGCCCCGGCCCCCGGCAGCTGGAGGAGGCCTGGGGCATCTGCCAGGCCTCCCAGAAGCCAGTGAGGGCGAAGTGCAGGGCCCTGGACAGGGCCGAGAGCTGTGCCCAAGGCCAGGGCTGGCGGGGGAGCCGCTGCCCCGTGTCCTGCTCTGGGCTCTCCCCGGAGAGAGCTGCTCTGAGGGGAGGGGGGACCCCTGCCCAGCAGAGGGCCGGGGGCCCAAGGTGGCCTGTGCGCACGTCCCTGCAGACAGGGCCTCGTGCAGCAGGTCTGGAACGGCGCCCAAGAGCCCACTTGGCTTGGGGACGTCTGTGGACACAGCCTCCGGGGGCTCTGCGCCGCTCAGCTGCAGCACCACGCCCGCCCCCAGCCCCTCAGCGAGAGCCAGGCAGGGGCCCGGCCGCCAGTCTTCGTCATAACACAGGGGGCTGGCAGTAGCGGTCCACCCCAGGCCCAGCAGGGGCCGGGCAGAACGAGGCCAGGCAGACTGGCCTTGGGGGACCTGACCGATGGACGCGTGGCCGACTCAGCTCCTGGTGCAAAATCAGCCAGAACGGGGAAACCCACGGGTTACGAAGGGCTCTCGGCAGAGCCTGCTGCTGCTTTCAGCGCTGTGTGTTATCTGTGCAATCGAGAGGCAGAGGGACAGGCAGGGACACGGACAGAGCTCCCCTCTGCTGGTCACTCCCCAGATGTCTGCAGCAGCTGGGCTGGGCGGGGCGGGGCCGGGCCACGGGGCGGGGGCGGGGCTGGGGGGCGGGGCCGGGGCACGCAGCCCAGTCTCCCACGGCAGCTACCTGAGCGTCCCCACCGCCTCCAGGGTGCACATCGGCAGGAAGCTGGAGCCCGGCGCTGCGATTCTGACCACAGACCTCACGTGGTGGGGCCTGCGCCTCCCTCAGAAGGGGTGGGGCTGGCGCTGGGGGAGGGGCGCCCGACCCGTGCTAACTCTGTCTCTTCTGTTTGAAGGAAGGAGCCTCAGCCCGAGCCGTCGCCAAGGTCAGTGCCTGCTGCCTCCCGCTGCCTCTCGATGTGTTTGCACAGCGTCCGGTCCCGTCTCGCTCCGTGTGCAGCGCCTGTCTCGGGGGCGGGGCTGCGGTGGGGCTCTGGGCATGCTCCCCGGGGCGCCCAGGGTCCCTACGTCACTCCCTCGCTCACGGCCGCCACCCTGCGCTTTGGGCTCCCCACCTGGCCAGGACCCAGCCCCCCAGGCAGAGGTTTCCAAGGGAGCTGTCCCTGCAGGCACTGCCGAGCCCGGCAGACTCCTGTGGGTGGGCGGCTGCCAGTCTGGGGCGTGCGGGCATGGGAGCGTCCAGGGCCTGCCCAGCACCGCTAGCAGAGGGTCGGGTTGTTGAGCATCTCCGTGGAGAGGGTCAGGGCCCCTGTGCTCCTGGGGAGGTGGGGGTGGCCCTCCCCCCAGCCAAGGCGCTGTCCAGGCGCTGAACCTGCTTCTCGCTCCCTGTGTGCCCGCTGGCCCCCGGCTCTGCTTGCTCAGGCAGGGGAAGGCCGGGACCCCCGTGTGGGGGCCACGGGGCTGGCCCTGGCGTGGGGCAGAGGTGGGATCTGCTGCTCACCTGGCCCAAGGAGAACCAAGGTCATTCACAAACTCCCTGCTGGGCTCGCAAGCGCCTGTGAGCCGCAGGTCCCCCGCATCCAGCCCAGCCCGGCCTGCCAGGGCCTCTCGGGGTGGAGGGGCCTGGCCGACGAGGGCTTCAGGGGCTGCCCCATCTGGGGGACATGGTCCTGACCCCAGCCCCTCGGCAATGGTGGCCGGTGGCTTGAACTCAGGAGCTGAGCAGCAGTTAGCACTGGACCTTCAGAGCAGCTGAGGAAGCCGAGCCGGGGGCCAGGCTTGGGTTGGCCAGTGCGGTGTTGGCCGGGAGTGTCCTCGGCGCAGTCGGCCCTGGGGAGGCGCCGCGGTGACACGGGGCAGGGGTGCCCAGCCGCAGCTGGCCAGGGCCCAAGCGAGTGGCCTCTCCTGACTCACTTCATGACCCAGGAGCCAGCTGGACTGAAGGGTGGACAGAGGCGGCCTCTGGCGCCCGGCGGGATGGAGGCTCCTCTGCCCGCCCGGCCGGCTGCCAGCGCCTCGCCCTCGCTGCTGTCGCGGGGCTGCCCCTCGACGACCCTCGTCTCAGCCTCTCTCTCTCTCTCTCTCCCTCTCCTGCCCCTCTGGGAAATCTTGCTGCCCCCAAGTGCTTTTAATCACTGTCACTGCCCTTTTTGGGCCCCTCTCTCGTCTGCTCTGTCTTTGGGGATGAGAGGCTGACCCTGAAAGCAGGACTCCAGGTGAGGACCACGGGCCCCGGCTCTCCGCTATGTTCCGTGGCTCCCCTGCCCCTCCCCACTCCTCTGTCTCTCCCTGGTGTCCAGTGGCCCTGCCCACCTGTGCCTCCCCGTGCCCTTGCCCTGCCGCCTGTGTACAGCTGAGGGGTGGGGGCCTGGGCCTGGTCCACGGGCTGAGGGCGGTCTCCTCCCTCCTGTTCCCGGAGGTTTCTGTCCCCCGTGGGCAGTCACGGCCCTCGCTCCAGCACCCAGCACCCAGTAGGTGCACAGGAAGTGGTTCCGTCCATTGTGGCCGTAGTGGGATGGCCGGTTCCATCGAGCACGGTGGGGTGGGGCTGGCTTCCCAGGGCACCCCGGTCCCCCAGGCTAGACGGGTCCTGTGGGAACTCCCTTGCAGGGACTGGACCAGCAGATGGTGTGGACACAGGGACCCTCACTCGGCCACCGAGACCGCCTCCTGGTCCTCGCACAATGCACCATGGCGAGCCCCCAGCTGGCTGTGGGGGGCTCTGTGCTGAGGAGCGGGGTGGGCGCAGCTCGGGCCTGTGCACTCAGGGTGTGCCCTTGGTGGTGATGGCTCTGGCTTGTCGCTGTCCATGGGCTCTCCTGTCCACAGGCACAAGTGCTCAGTGCAAAGCTGTCCAGTGCTGTCTCAGTGACAGAGGGCTCCCCTGCCCTGCCCTCGTGGGCCCGTCCTCCCGGGCAGTCCTCGGAGGGCGGGGAGGAGACCGGGGGGCCGGGCGCATCTTGCTGGCCTGAATCGTGCTCCTTGGCTCCCCACAAGGCAGTGAGCGCTGCCGCCAGTGGGGCCCAGCGGCCACCCCAGGCTGCACGGCCGAGATGGGCTCCCCGCGCACTGGGAGCCACTTCCTGGGGGACGTGGTTGTGGCGAGGCTGTGCACGGAGCAGGATCTCTTGTCCCGGGGGTGGGCTTGTTTGCACCTGGCGACTCCTGGGTGGCCGAGGGGTTCCCATGCCACAGCCTGCCTGGAGGGGCCTCTGTGAACCGGCGCGGCGCGGCACCAGGAGCTCGCTGGCCTAGCGCTGGCCCCGGAGCCTTGGCTGCCCCAGGCACTGGTCCCTCTGGAGGGGCGGGGCCCCTGGGGGAAGGAGGCTGTGACCATGGCCCTTGCCGGCCAGGCCCTGGCCACTCTGGGGACCTCCGCTGGTGGCAGCAGGGTCTGCCAGGTGAAGTGAGAGCTCCCAGCCCCCGGGGGTGGGGTGGGGGTGGGGCCTGCCTGGAGGAGGCGGGGCCTGCTTGCTGAAGGGGGGGGGAGCCTGGCAGTTTTTCTTCATTTGCAGGTTTTGGTTAACAATGTGCAGAAATGTACCCCAGGGTGCTGGGGGAGGGCTGGCGTCCCTCACTGGCTGAGCCTTTTCTGGGGCGCCCCAGGGGGCTGGGCGCTAGGGTGGGGTCCCTGAGACCCCAGAGGGCCCGGCAGAGTCTTCTGAATCCAGGCGTCTGCAAGCCCCTTGTCCTACCGGAGCAGAGTCCCTGCCCAGGACACCATGAAAGATGGCGCCTCTTCTCAGGAGCCCTCTCGGCGCCCAGCCCGCCGTGGCCCTGGCCCTGGCCCTGGCCCTGGCCGTCCCTGGGGCTCCCTGGGCTCACCTGGCCCCCAGCAAAGGCCACTCATGCCAGGGTCCCTGTGGGACGCTGCCCCAGTCACTCGGCACCACGGACAGTGCCCGGCAGCCCCTCCCTTCCTGCGTCAGGGCCTGTGGGCGAGCGAGGGGACACTGGTGACCCCAGCTCTACTGCCTCAAGTGTGGGGAGGGGGCCTTGCCCAGCAGAGCCTTGTGTGGGGCAGGCGAGGGGCCGCGCTGGGTGCTGGGGCTGTGAGGTCACAGATGGCTCGGGCTTCAGGCCCGACTGCCCTTCGGGGTGTGTTTCTGGCCAGCGTGGGCCTGGCTCGGGGTGCACTGAGGGGTGGGGGGGCATGCGTCCCTGTGTCTCCGTCCTGTTCCGCAGCCCCTCCCTGGGCCCCCCTCCGCAGGGAGGACCCGCAGTCGGTCTCCTGCCCACAGCTGTCACACGCTGTCTACTACCAGTGGAGAGGCGGTCCCTGGGAGGGACGTGGGCTCCGGTGACGCCCGGGGTGTGGCTGCTGTGTCCAGCGCACTCTGACCACAGCCGGGTCTGCTTGGGGACCAGGAGGGTTTGGAGGTATGGGGTGCAGGGGCAGGAGTCCTCGCCAGAGAGGTCCATGTCCTGAGCTCCGCCCTGCCCTGCAGCCAGCCTCGGGAGTGTCCCTCTCTCCCGGTGCATTGTGGGCCCAGGCTGAGCTGCCCAGGGCTGGGCCACCCCAGCTCCCCCGGCTCCCCTTCCTGAGCTTGCTTCTGCCTGTGGAGTCCTGCATGTGGAAGGAGGCCGTGGCCATGGCCCTTGCCTGGCCAGGCCCTGGCCACTCTGGGGACCTCCGCTGTGCGTTGGCTCTGTCCTTGGCTTGGGAGGCAGGCTGAGTGGGGGCCCAGGGGCGGGAGGCACATGTGCAGGCTTAGCCGCACGCCCCTGCTTTGATACAACCCCCACCACGGGTCTGAGTGTCCAAGAGCCACGGCCCAGAGGCTGCACGCTGTGCCGTGGCCCCGGCAGCCGTGTCGGGTGGGGTCCCGAGGACCCCATGCCACGCTGGCTTCAGGTCTGTCTGGGCTGGGTTGTGGCCTCCAGTGGTACTTGGGGAATAGAAGTGTGGACCTGGCCTGGAGGCTGGGGGTCCATGTGCTGCCCCCTCGTGCAGCTCCACCTCCTGGTCCCGTGCGTCTGTGTGGCCGAGTGAGTTTGTACTCGTCCACACCCATGGGTTCCTGGCCTCTGCCCCAGCCTGCCCCTGGGTCTGAGTCCATCCATTCTGTCCTTACCTGGACATGTCCAGAGGTGGAGATGGGTGGAGAGGGAGTCGGACCCAGTACTCGGGGCACTGGAACCTCCCACCGGCCCTGGAGCTGAGCCCGCTGCGGCCAGGAGGGCCCTGGGCTGGTCCTGTGGTGAGGAGGAGCCCACAGCAGGGTAGAGCCATGGAGGCCGTGGCCGCCCTTGGTGTGGCCCCCAGCATGGCTTCTCCCTGGACAATGAGGTCTCCCTTGGGGTGGGTGTCCCGGTCCCCACCCCCGTGCTGGCCTCTAAGCCACTGCCCCTGCCCCAGGTGCTTGTGGGATGCAGGATGCCCGGGGGCTCCTCCGAGACCCTGACTGGCACAGATGGTCTCAGCACGGCCGCTTCCTGGGAGACCGGGTACTGTGGGCCGGTCGTCCTTGCACTTCTGAAGGGCCTGCCTGCCTGGTGCGGCTGCCGAGCGGGACCAAGCCCTCGCTGTGGCCGGGTGCAGCCTCCAGGGTTCTGAGAGGCAGGCACACCCAGCCACATACCCGCCCTGCCCGGAGGCCAAACCAGCTGTCCAGTGGCCACCACGAGTGAGGTCCCCCTTCAGGAGAGCTGATAGTGGGGACACCAGTGGGAGCAGGGAGCAGCCACAGGGCTTTCCTGACCACAGCGGTGCCCTCGCTGCCAGCAGGGGGCGTCAGAGCCCATGAGCGTGGGGTATGAGACCTGTCACTGTGGTCATCAAGTGGCTGAGGATCCAGAAATGGCAGCCTGGCCAGAACCGGTGTCTCTGGCTTCCTGCCGTGGACTTCTCAGTGCCCACAGCCAGGGCCAGGGCACGGGGCAGGGAGACCGTCATGGCCGCGGCCTGACCGGAGCCGAGCCAGGATGTTGAGTTGTGAGCACATTCCGGTGGGGGTGGGGCAGTGCCCTCCCGGTGCCTCTCACAGCAGGTGCTCCAGGGAGGGGGCGGCTGGAGGGGGACCAGGCGTTTGGGGCTCAGCAGTTCAGTGTTTCTGGGTGGCAGCTGGAAGTGATGGACTCAGTGGCCAGCCCTTCCCCTCTGTCCTGTGCCCCGCCTGTACCTCCTTCCCCGAGGGTGGCTCCGAGCCCCCTGGGGGCTGGTTTCTCGCGGCCCCGGGTCTCCCTGCTGTCGCAGGGGTGGCCTTGGCCACGGGCACACGTACACCCGGGGCCTTCTGGAGTGACCCCTCATGCTGTCTCTCTGTGTCTGTCCGTCTGCCGGTCCCCGCGGGAGCAGCCAGAAGTTCAGTTTGAAAGATCGTGTCTTCTCCAGCCCCCGTGGCGCGGCCGCCAAGGGGAAGGGGTCCCCCCAGGCCCAGACCGTCCGGCGCTCACCCAGTGCTGGCCAGAGCCTTGAGGACAGTCCCAGCAAAGTGCCCAAGAGCTGGAGCTTCGGGGACCGCAGCCGGGCCCGCCAGGCCTTCCGGATCAAGGGCGCTGCCTCGAGGCAGAACTCAGAAGGTGGGTGTGGCTGAGCGGCTGCTGGGGAGGCCCAGGCACCCGGCCAGGGGCCACGGCGGGGACAGGGTGGGGGGCGTGGGCACGGGGCCTCGGGGCCCTCTCAGCATCAGGATCTCGCGTTTGCTTTTGGAGCAGGGAGGTCCGTCTGTGTCTTCTGTGATAAAATTCATGTAAAAGGAACCATTTTATTTATTTTTAAAGATTTGTTTATTTGAAAGGCAGAGTTTTGGAGAAAGAAAGAGACAGAGAGAGGGAGAGGTCTTCCATCCACTGGTTCACTCCCCAGATGGCCACAACAGCCAGGGCTGGGCCAGGCTGAAGCCAGGAGCTCCATCCGGGTCTCCCACGTGGGTGCAGGGGCCCAGGCACTTGGACGTCTTCCACTGCCTTCCCAGGCTGTTAGGAGGGAGCTGGACCGGAAGTGGAGCAGCTGGGCCTCACCTGTGGCCCACACGGGAGCCGGCATCGCAGGTGTAGCTCATTTACCCCGCTGCCCACGGCACCGGCCCCCGAGATCAGCCACTGTCAGAGCGCAGCTGGTGACGTCCCAACAGCAAGACCTGTGCCCAGTGTGGCCACCCTTTCCCCTGACCAGCTCCGGCTGCGGCCGCCTGCTCCCCGTCTGCTTGTCCAGTGCCGCCGTGTGCCCTGAGCCGCCCCGTCCTGCGGGCACGTGTGTGCCAGAGCGTGAGCGTGTGTGTGCACACATGTGCCTTTTGGCTGAGTGACATCCACTGGGTCCAGTGTCTGCCAAGGGCCGCGGGGAGGCGGGACGGAGGGCGGGGTCTGAGCCCCAGCCCTGCTCCTCACGGCCGTGTCCACTTCCACCCAGAAGCCAGTCTCCCCGGGGAGGACGCAGTGGACGACAACAAGAGCTGCAACTGCGAGTTTGTGACCGAGGACCTGACGCCTGGCCTCAAAGTCAGCATCCGGGCCGTGTGGTGAGGACCCCGGGGCTGGCGCGGAGGGACACGGGGCGCGGGCTGTCTGCGAGGTGCCAGGGGGCAGGGTGGGACCCCGGGAACAGAGCGCGGAGGGACACGGGGTGCGGCTGTGGCCGCTGCGGGCAGTCCACGAGGTGCCAGGAGGAAGCTGAGGCTCCTCCCCTCTCCCCCGCCTGGGTGCTGGACTCTGCCCTCGGGGGTGCGGTCACCGGGAGGCTGCCGGCCCCAGGGTGGACGAGGGTCCCCGTGTGGCCGCGCGCTGAGCTTGGCCGCGGCTTTGCCCCTCCCCCGCAGCGTCATGCGGTTCCTGGTGTCCAAGCGGAAGTTCAAGGAGAGCCTGCGGCCCTATGACGTCATGGACGTGATTGAGCAGTACTCGGCCGGACACCTGGACATGCTGTCCCGCATCAAGAGCCTGCAGTCCAGGCAAGGGCCGGCCGGGGCAGCGACAGGGCGGGGTGCCCCATGCCCACTTCTGGCCGCTTTCTGCCGTGTCCACGTGGTTTCTAGTGTTTCCGTCATCCCTCCCCTGCCCCCACTGCACTGCGGGGGGCAAGTGTGTGTGCGTGCCCACACACGCATATGTGTGCACATGCATGTACTGTGTGGACAGGCACATAGTGCACACGTGTGCTCATGCATATGTGGTGCACACGCCTGCCTTGCTGTGTTCACCTGTGTGTCAAGCGTCCATGTGCATGTGCACGCGTGTGCACATGTGTGTCGGGAATGGAGTTCTGTTGGGAGCCCAAGGGCCCCCCCACAGCTGTGCTACCCGCGCCTCCTCGTCCAGGACGTGTGGGGAAGCTGGGCAGGACACCTGTCCCGGCCCCGGGCACTGCTGGGCCATCAGGCTCTGCTCGTCTGTGTTCGGAGTCACACGTGTGTGCATTGTACACACATGTGGGGGCCTGAGCACACGCTCATGCCACCCACACGTGCAGGTGCACACACATGCTCAGTGGCGTGCACCTTCAGCTACACACAGACACAGGTGTGACGTGTGTGTGTTGGAGCGTGTGTTGATAGGTCATGGGCACCTGCCGGTCAGCAGCCCCTCAGGCCTGGCTGCAGGGATGTGGTGTGGGGCTTGGGGAAGGCGTCCCCCTGGGCCAGCGGCGAGGGCGGTGTCCGGCCTCCTCCCGGGCTCAGCCTCCACCCACCCAGCAGCAACTCGATGTGTGTGGGTGCGTGGTGTGCTGTGCGTGTGCTACGTGTGTGTGCCATGCATGTGGGTGAGTGTGCGGTGCGTGTGGGTGCTACATGTGTGTGCCATGCATGTGGGTGTGCTGTGTGTGCTATGTGTGTGCCATGCATGTGGGTGTGCTGTGCGTGTGCTATGTGTGTGCCATGCATGTGGGTGAGTGTGCTGTGCGTGTGGGTGCATGTGCTGTGTGTGCTGTGCATGTGGGTGCGTGTTCTGTGTGTGCTGTGTGTGTGGGTGTGTGTTCTGTGTGTGCTGTGCATGTGGGTGTGTGTTCTGTGTGTGCTGTGTGAGGGTGCGTGTTCTGTCTGCTGTGTGTCAGTACATGTGCTGTGTGTGGGTGCATGTGCTGTGTGTGGGTACTGTGCATGTGGGTGTGTGTTCTGTGTGAATGTGGGTGCGTGTTCTGTGTGGGTGCTGTGTGTGCTATGTGTTGGTGCGTGTGCTGTGCATGGGTACATGTGGGTGCGTGTGTTGTGTGTGGGTGCATGTGCTGTGTGTGGGTACTGTGCATGTGGGTGCGTGTGCTTTGCGTGCACCGTGCGTGTGCATGGGAGTGTGCTACAGGGCCTTGACTCATGTGTCTCTCCGTGTCTCTCCCGACGCTGTTTTGTCACCAGGATCTTGAGTCCTAAATCTTCCCTCTTCCTTCCCCTTCTGTCTGGAAAAGCAAAACCAGTGAGCCGGCCGCGAGAAGCGCGCGCGCCGTGCCTGGTGTCTGCTGCCGGCTGCACGCGTGCCCCGTGCGGCCGCTCCTGTCGCTTTACGATGCGTTCTGCTGTCTCTTTTCTTGTCTACTCTGCCAGGATAGATATGATTGTGGGTCCCCCGCCCCCTTCAACTCCCCGGCACAAGAAGTACCCCAGCAAAGGGCCCCCGGCCCCTCCGAGAGAGTCACCCCAGTACTCACCTAGGTTAGGACGCCAGCGCCCGCCTTGTCTCTGTGGATGGACAGCCCTTCGCCCAGGCCACATGACGCAGTGCCTTGCGCTCCCCGAGGGGACGGGATGGTGCCCTCCTGTCCACGCCCGCTGGGGCCGGGCAGCTCCCGGGCAGAGGCAGAGGGCGGCCCCGAGGGTCAGACGCATGGCGAGGATGCGTGAGACCGTCCCCTCCCCCCCCCACCCCGGCCCAGGGACCCCAGGCAGCTGACTGCCCGCCCTGCACCTGGGCCTGGGGCCGCGGCTACCCCTCACCATGGCCTTGGCACTGTCGGGGAAGAGATGAGGGGATCCCGGCCCAGGGGCTCCGTTCTGAGTGCTGCCGTCGATGGCGGGCGGGAGGGTGGGTGGCGGACACTGTCTCCTCCGTGGGACTTCGGGGACCTCCTTGCTCCCTTGCGCCCCCATGTCCATCAGTCAAGGGCGAGCTGGAACCACACAGACGCAGGGAGGACGGGTCCCTGGGACGGGACAGGCGTGAGGGGCGGGTCTGACGGCTCCCAGCCAGGCTCCTGCACATGAGGCCACTGGCCCACGGCTCGAGGTCTAGCAGGGGCTCCCAGGGCTGCAGGCGGGGGCACCTGCATTTCAGCCAGCGTGTACCCCTGGGCCCCAAGGAGGGGCACTGTCCCTCCAGGCACGGCTGTGGGCTGGGAGGACCTGCAGCTGGGAGGTATGCAAAGGCCAGGCAAGACAGCCCAGGACACACATCCCCCCCCCCCCGGCAGGAGGACAGTCCAGGACACACACACCCCCCCCGGCAGGAGGACAGCCCAGGACACCCACTCCCCCCCCACCAGGCAGGACAGCCCGGGGCACCCATTCCCACCCCCCAGGCAGGAGGACAGCCCGGGGCACCCACTCCCCCCCCCACCAGGCAGGACAGCCCAGGACACCCACTCCCCCCCCCACCAGGAGGACAGCCCAGGACACCCACTCCCCCCCCCACCAGGAGGACAGCCTGGGGCACCCACTCCCCCCCCCCACCAGGCAGGACATCCTGGGACACCCACCCCCCCCCACCAGGCAGGACAGCCCAGGACACCCATCCCCCCCCCCACCAGGCAGGACAGCCCGAGGCACCCACTATCCCCCCCCACCAGGAGGACAGCCCAGGACACACATCCCCCCCCCCAGGCAGGAGGACAGCCCGGGGCACCCACTCCCCCCCCACCAGGAGGACAGCCTGGGGCACCCACTCCCCTCCCCACCAGGCAGGACAGCCCAGGACACCCACTCCCTCCCCCAGGCAGGAGGACAGCCCAGGACACCCACACCCCCCCACCAGGCAGGACAGCCCGGGCACCCACTCCCCCCCCCCCCAGGCAGAACAGCCCGGGCACCCACTCCCCTCCAGGCAAAGGCAGGGGAGGCGCAGGGTCCTGGGAGGACCCTTCCCAGCCCCCAGAAGCAGCTCCAGCTGGGCCCTGGGCTGGATCTCCCGCGGGGACTGGCCGGGCAGGCGCCCGTCATGTGGCAGGGGTGAAGGAGCTGAGCCTCTGTGCCTGGACTGTGTGGACACGTGGTCACCAGGAGCCCCGTCCCCTTGTGGCCACTGGCGTCTGCTTGGAGCCAGAGCCCCTCCCCCCTGCATGTGTCAGCATGAGCCCCGCACAGCATGGCGAGGCTGCACGGCGGCTGGCGTGAGCCTGAATCCCTCTTCTGTTCACACAGCAAAAAGGGACCAGCCCTGCCCACCCCGAGACAGGGCAGCCCGGCAGCAGGAGGCAGCCCTGGCGTGGGGGCTCGATGCCGAGGGGGCAATCAGCTGTGCAGCCGTGTGCTGGGCACGTGCGTCTCAGGCTTCCTGTGGGGCCTCGGTCTCTGCGTGGCCTCCACCCCAGGGGCCCGCAGGCCATGCGGCCACTCCCCTGTGGGTCCGTGGGTGCCACGCCCCAGGGTGCAGGAGCTGCCCCCTCTTACTGGCACAGGGACCTACGGTGTCAGATCAGTCCTGCCCCCCACATGCACGCACATTCACAGACCCACTGTGCACGAGTGTGAACACAAGCACGCATGCATACTCCCACGTGACACAATGACACGTGTGCACACACTCCCACCCACACAGATACATGTATGTGCAGACCCACTGCACACGTGTGAACACATGTACTCACAGCGCACATTCAAGCACCTGCATGCACACCCATGTGCACACATGCAAGCACACACCTACACATGTGTGTGCATACATGGCACCCAGAACACAACAATACATGCATGAACACACCATGCATGCACACACGCGTGCATGCATGTTAACACGCACGTATGTGTGCAGAGCCATGACACCAGCCCCTGTTGGCACCTCCGTCTCACCTGCCCTGGTCTGTGCCCTGCCGTCCCCTGTGCTGCGTGGTGTCCCCTCGTCCTGGTGCATGGAGCGCTGGCTCTCACTGCCCCGCTTCTGTTCTGCTGCAGGCCCCAGGGGGCCCGAGGGTCTCGGCGGCACATCAGGTGGGGGTGCAGGCCAGGCTGGCGGGGCCCGGGCCTGGGCATGAGTGTGGCTTCCGGGGCCAGCACGCCGACGGCCGGGGGCGCCAGGGGGGCGAGGGGTGGGTGGCCCACATGCTCCCTCGCTTTATCCAGCCTACTGTGCCAGACCCCACTGGACGGAGCCGATAGGGAGAGGGAGCAGGACCCCAAGGGTCAGAGGCGGGCATCTGCCTGTCCTCACACCTGCTGCCCCGGGGGGCTCGGGGCTGGGCCTGGAGGAGGGAGCGAGGCCCAGCCACGCCCACCCGAGCTCATGCTTGGGGGCGGGGTCTCTGTTCCTGGTAGAGTGGACCAGATCGTGGGCCGGGGCCCGGCGGTCACCGACAAGGACCGCAGCAAGGGTCCGGCCGAGGCGGAGCTGCCCGAGGACCCCAGCATGATGGGCCGACTCGGCAAGGTGGAGAAGCAGGTGAGCGCACGTGGGGGCGGGGAGGGCAGCACAGGCTCCTGCAGGCCCCTCTGGCCGTGGCACCAAGGGTCAGGGGGGTGCCGGGTTCATGGAGTCCCTGGGGGAGGGCTGGGTTCATGGAGTCCCGGGGGGGGAAGGGCCGGGTTCATGGAGTCCCGGGGGGAGGGCCGGGTTCATGGAGTCCCGAGGGGGGGAGGGCCGGGTTCAAGGAGTCCCGGGGGGGAGGGCCGGGTTCATGGAGTCCTGGGGGGGGAGGGCCGGGTTCATGGAGTCCCGGGGGGGAGGGCCGGGTTCATGGAGTCCCGGGGGGGGGGGAGGGCCGGGTTCATGGAGTCCTGGGGGGGGGGGGCCGGGTTCATGGAGTCCCGGGGGGAGGGCCGGGTTCATGGAGTCCCGGGGGGGGAGGGCCGGGTTCATGGAGTCCCGGCGGGGGAGGGCCGGGTTCATGGAGTCCTGGGGGGGGAGGGCCGGGTTCATGAAGTCCCGGGGGGAGGCTGTGAGGCAGGTCGCACCCGCAAGGCATTATCCGCCTGTGTGCTCACTGGAGGTTACACCTGCTGGCCTTTCCCAGTCTCACCCGCCCCCAACTCCTTCCTTGATGTGGGGTCTGCTTCTGGGAGCCGGGCCTGAGCTGGGCCCGACACGCGGGGCAGCTTGGGTCTGGGACGGACGAGGGGCTGCTCCAAGCAGAGGCAGGGCCCCTCCGCAGCCACCTTCTTGGAGCAGCCGGCACAGCCCCACCCCGCGGTCCCCTGCAGGTGCTGTCCATGGAGAAGAAGCTGGACTTCCTGGTCAGCGTCTACACACAGCGCATGGGCATTGCCCCGACCGAGACGGAAGCCTACTTCGGGGCCAAGGAGCCGGAGCCGGCGCCGCCATACCACAGCCCGGAGGACAGCCGGCAGCAGGTGGACAAGCACGGCTGTATCATCAAGATCGTGCGCTCCAGCAGCTCCGGCCACAAGAACTTCTCCGCGCCGCCCGCCCAGGCCCCGCCCTCCACCTCCTGGCAGCGCCAGGGCCACGGCTCGTCCCCCGTGGGCGACCACGGCTCCTTGGTGCGCATCCCGCCGCCCCCCGCCCACGAGCGGTCGCTGTCAGCCTACAGTGGGGGCAACCGGGCCAGCACGGAGTTCCTGAGGCACGAGGACGCGCCGGGCGGCAGGCCGCACGAGGCCGGCCTGCGGGACAGCGACACGTCCATCTCCATCCCGTCCGTGGACCACGAGGAGCTGGAGCGCTCCTTCAGCGGCTTCAGCATCTCGCAGTCCAAGGAGAACCTGGACGCGCTGGGCGGCGGCTTTGCGGCCGTGGCGCCTCGGGCCAGGGTCAGGCCCTACATCGCCGAGGGCGAGTCGGACACAGACTCGGACCTCTGCACCCCCTGCGGGCCGCCCCCACGCTCTGCCACCGGCGAGGGCCCCTTTGGCGACGTGGGCTGGGCTGGACCCAGGAAATGAGGCCTCCTGCGTGCCCGCCTGCCTGGCGCCGCCCTGGAGGCCGGAGCAGGGACCCTGGGAACCTCAGGGAGGCCTGGAGTGGGCGGGCGGGGGCTGTTCTCGAGTGCTTTTCCAGGAGGGGCTGGTGCCAGGACCAGGGCCCCGGTCAGCAGCAGGAGGAGAGGCCCCAGGAGCAGAGCCCAGGGCAGGGTACGGGTGAGGGGGCCTGGGTTTTAGCACTGCCGGCCGGAGGCAGCTCGGGAGGCTGTGATGGGCGGGGGTGGTGTGGACTGCCCTGGCCCTGACCACCTGGCTAGTGTGTCCCTCAGTCCCTGACTGCCCCACGGAGGCGTGGCCGTGCCGCCGCCCTCGAACCTGCAGTGGCCGGCTGGACAGCTGCCGGTCAGCATCTCCCCCCCACTCCCCGGGTTCTGAGGGTCTTTTCACAGGGGGCTGCCCAAAGCGCAGGACCCTCTCCTGGAGTGGAGGCAGGGGTGAGGCTTCAGGCTCTCTTGGGAGGCCCCACATTGTGTCCTGACGGGGAGCCCCGGGAGCCGTCCTGGGGCACGAGGGCCAGCAGCACCCAGCGGCCTCTCTCTGCTGACTGCTCCGGCCAGCACCATGAGAGGCCCAGCCAGTGAGCACTGTCCTTGGCCAGGGCCCCGCCTCGCTCAGCCCCCACTGATGCCCTGACATGTGTGGCCAGCGGGAGAAGCCTGCAGGTGCCAGCACTGGGGGTTGGCCAGCTCCACCCCTCCTCGCCGCTGGCTCCTAGGCTGTGACCCCCTGGTGTCTCGGGTGTTAGGGACCCCCAGGACCAGTGAGCTTTGAGGGGCAGTGTGGGCCCAGCATGGGCGTCTGGAGCAACATCACGGCCCTCGCTGTGTGGGCGGCCCCTGAACTCCACGGGGGGGGGGGGGACTGTGAAGTCAGCATCGAGGGTCCCATGTCCCCGGTGTCAGAGGCCCTGGCCACGCGGGGGTCTTTGGGGAGTCCTTGCTAGGGCCCTGCTGGGCGCCCGCCCTGTGCTGGCTGTGGGGACGAGGCCCTGGCTGGATGCTGCTGCCCACTCAGGCCCACACGTCCACTCTGCTCTCGGGTTCCGGTAGTGCTGAGAGCAGTCCCCTGGTGGGACAGCGTGAGGGGCTGCCCCCCTGGACAGGGTCGAGACTGGGGCCCAAGCCAGGGAGACTCCAGCTGGAGCCCCAGGCGGGGCCAGGAGGGCTGGCTCTGGCCGCAGCCCCCGTGCCCCCAGCTTGGCCAGTCCAGGCTCTGGGTCATGAGCCTCTGATGAGGCCCCACCTCCCACCCCACCCACCACGGAGGCAGCGGGGTAAGGGTGATGGACAGGTGAGCTCCTGCTCCCGATCCTGGCTGCCCAGCAGGTCAGGTGGGAAGGGTCTCACCTAGGTTACAGCGAGGACAGAGGCTGGATGGGCGTGTCCTGCATTGAGGCAGGCTTCTGTGGGCTGATGGAGCCCCACGTCTGGGGGTGCTAAGGTGGGAGCCCCTCCAAGGGCCCTGGCCCTGGCCTGAACAGCACAGCTGTGGGCGTCCTGGCCCTGCCTTCAGGAGGGCAGTAGCCACCAGGGGTCTTTGTGCAACTGTGGGCAGAGGTTTTCCAGGATGAGATGTTTGCCAGAGCATGCATCCCCACATGTCCACCAGCACACATGTGCTCACATGGCCGCACACGTGCACACATGCATGCTCACAGACGTGTGCACGGTCCACTCATGGCTGCATACATGCACACACCCACACACGTGTGCACACAGCACGCACTATTCCACGTGTGTGCACACAGCTGCATATGTGCACATTCATGCTCAGACATGGGCACAGCCCACTCACAGCTGCACACATGTACACACACTCATACATGTGTGCAACACAGTCCACACAGCACACACACAATGACACACTCACAAGTGCACACGGCTGCATATGTGCACAGTGCCAATCCAGCCACACACATGGACACGTGAGCCCCCCACAATCCTGGCTTCAGCTGCCCTCTGATTTCCTGCCTCCGCTCTGCCGTTTAACCCTGGAATAAACGACTTCAGGAGTCACAGGTGTTTCTATGTCGAGGCGTGGGCTGGGTGCCTGCTGTCTAGGGCACCCATGCAGGCTGCACACTGCCCTCTCCCTCTGCTGGGACACGGCTGGGACCCGGATGGTCCCCTGTCTGGGTGGGTGTCCAGCTTTGCCCTGGGGGAGCCTCCCAGGCCCTGCCCCAGGCGGGGGCACCGTCTGCCCTTGGCTTTTCCTGACCCAGTGCCTGCCAGGCCCTTGCTCCTGTCACATGGTGGTCAGTGCAGGGCAGGTGGCCAAGGGCCCCTCCCTGGGAGGCCAGGGCAGCCCTCGCCCAGCCCACTGAGGCCCCGTGTAGGCTGCTGCCCAGAGGCATCCCTGGCCAGCAGCTCCCGGTTCTTGGTGCGTTTGCTTCAGAGATGGTCTCCCCTTGCTGCTCTGGAGGCCCGGGGGGGGAGGGGGGGCCCAGAGACCCCATCGGAAGCCCCTGAGCTGTTTCCGGGAGCTCCCCAGAGCTGGTGGCGGCGGCTGCAGGGCAGGGCTGCGGGTGTCATCCCTGGGCTCCTGCTGAAGACTGGCCTCCTCCACATCACCCCAGCCCTTGACCCCAGTGTTGAGGGGCCCAGGCCAGGCAGGCAGACCCTGTGGGGACAGCCGTGCCTCCCAGCAGGGGGTGAGTCCTGGCCATAGCGCTGCTGGCACCCTGGCTCAGGACCCTCGCCTGGATGCAGTCAGCCACCCTGGGCCGTGGTGTGGAGGCTGCATGTGTGGGAAGCACCTTGGGTGTGGGGTTCTAAGGGCCTCGTAGGGGCTGCAGGCCAGAATCACTGCCCAGGGTGGCTCTGTCCAGCTAGGGCCAGCTGCTGGTCAGCCCAGTGCTCGGGAGGAGGAGAAAAACCAGAGAGGGCTTCCTGGGGAGGTGGAGCGGTGGCGTTGGGGGCCCCTCTCCCCTCTGAGAGCCTCAAGGAGCCAGGTGCCTGGTGTGGGGCAGGGGCCACCTTCGCTGAGGCTCGCTGTGCTGTGGGGGTGCGGGGGGGCAGCCCTGGGGGGACACAGCTGGAGGGAGAGGTGTGGGGCTGGGTGACCCAGGGCTGAGTCCAGCCAGTGGCCCTGCCCTGAGTCAGGTCCAGCACGGAGGGGCTGTGCCTGGCTCCGGCCGCCAAGCACCCGGCTCCCAGTGGGCCTCGCAAGTTGGTGCCTTAACGCACACGGACAGAACTCCGGAAGCTTCCGCCACACATGGACCCCCAGCTCCGCCTCCAGGTGGGCCCCCTCCAGCCCATGCAGAAGCCTCAGAGCCCCCCCCCCCCCCATGCCGCCTGCCTGCTTGGAGCCCGCTCGGCGCTCAGGCTGCCCCCACGCCTCATTGCCTGGTGCCCGTGGTGGTGGCTGCTGCTGCCCCGGACGCCGTGGCCTTGCTGTCTTTGCACTTAGTCCTTGCTCCAAAGATTCTCCACAACCTGCCTTCAGCGCCGCCGGCTGCGTGGCCCCACCCCACGCCACAGCCCGTGCACGCCCCTGCTCTGGGCATTGATGCCAGGGACAGACCTCTGGTGCAGCTGAGAGACCGTCTTGCTGGACACGGATGGGCTGACCAAGGGCTGCCCGGAGTGAACCTGGGAGGGGGCTGTGGAGGCAGAATGTTCTGGAAAGCCCAAGGTGGACGCCCATGCACCTGTGCACTTAGTAAAATGCAGCAATTCAACCTGGACGCCGTGTGTCCTCTTCACTGTCGCACGCCAGCTCTGGGCAGCTGGCCCGAGGGCTGTCCCCATGGTTCTCGGAACCCAGACCTCTGTCTCGGGGCAGGGCCACCATCAGCGACCACAGCATCTGCAGGCCAGAACCGTGGCCCTGGCCGAGTGCAGGGCTCCCTGTGCGGGGCTTGGGTCGGGAGCCTGGGTGTGGCCAGCCCTTCAGTGGACGGCGAGTGAGCCCGGCTCCCTGGTGGGCCCACACCTGCCGGCTGTCTGTGCTGGCCAGCCGTCTCCCTTCCCTGTCTGCAGCTCCCAGCAGGGTGGGGGGCTGGACTCTTGCCCACCCTGTGTCCCGCAGGAGCCCCTGGGACCAGGGCCAGGCTGAGTTCATTGCCTGAGGCCCTTGCCCTTGGCATTCCCCACCTCCCAGCCCTGGGCAGTTGCGTGGGGAGCAGCTCGGCCAGGCTGGGGCCCCAGAGGCAGTGCCCGGCCCTGCCGAGCTCGCTGGGGCGCAAGCCCCTTGGCCCTGCCCCTGCTCCCCGCAGCCTCTCCCGGACGCCCTGGCACTGCTGCAGGGCGGGGGCACTGGGCTGTGGCCGTCACAGGTCAGCACACACAAGGTGGCCACTGGCCCATGGGTGGGTGGATGCCAGTGTGGCCCTGAGACACTCAGGCTGTCCTGATCGCTCTGTGGTTCTGATCCAGGTAGAGCCTGGCTCCGCCCACATCCGCAGGTGAGGATGCGATTTGCAGGGAGCAGGTGGCAAGGGGCTGTGGGTCCTGACTGCCCCTCCAGTCTGTCCAGTCCTCACTGTGCTGCCCACGGGCTCAGCCTCCCTGGGGCTCTGGGGCAGTTTATGTCCCCTGCCCTCACCCACGCCCCATCAGCTGTGTCCCCAGGGCCACTGAGGGATCAGGCTGGTGCTGGCTGGCCTGGTGGGCAGGAGGGATGCAGAGGCTGTGTCCAGGGCAACCCGGGGCCTGGCCAGGAGGGGCCGCCACGCGCAGGCAGCGGGCGACGCCTGGAGACCTCTCAGGGCAGCAGCGGCCTCGCTCGCCTGTGGAGCAGCAGGGACTGGGCACGTGGGGTCCTGCCTGTCCCCGCCCCGTCCTGGCCCCCTCGGTGGGGAGATGCGATGGCATCTCTAAGGGCATCCCCCAGCGTCCACACCCACGCTGCCCCACGTGGTGACCACACTCTGAGGACACCCTCCCACGTGCTGGGGGCCCAGCAGAGGTGTGGGTGGGACAGCCTGGGGGGGCTGAGGTCCATGCAGCAGCAGGTGCTGTGTGGGCGGGGCTCCCTGTCCCAGTGGGCTCCAGCGGAGCTCAAGGTTTGCCTGCCCAGGTGTCCACTAGGGGGCAGCACTCACCTGGAGGAGGGACCTGCAGGGGCAGCTGAGGTCCCCAACTGAGATGGCCCGGAGGACTGTGTCCCCACAGGTGACTTGACTGTCCCGCAGCTTGCCAGCCTGCGCCCTGAGGCTCAGACCTGCCCACTCGCTGCCGCAGGACCACTGGGGCCACGTGGCTCCTGGAGGGCCAAGCTCTCTGTGCCCCAACACCAAGCCTCAGGAGACCACAGGGACAAGCTCGCGACCCAGGAGCTGTGGGGTCTCCCTGGCTCCACGCCTGGCAGGCAGTGGGGACAGGGACGGGGACTCCCCTTGCTTGTGGGGTTTCGGCCACCGTGTGTCGGTTTCATGATTAAACCAGCCACAAGCAGACCCTCAGTGGTTTCGCACAGGGAAGCAGAGTGATAGAGACCCAAAGCGAGCTGAGGCTGTAGAACCCACAGTACAGGCCCGGGCTGGCAGGAGGTGGAGCCCCCAGCGGGGCGGAGTGGGGGTGGTCTCACCTCAGTGGGGGTCTGCGGGGGCTGCGAGCAGCCCAGGGTGTGAATATGTATTCTGCCTTCTGCGGGCTGCAAGAATTGCTCACAGCCACATGCCGCCCAGGCTCAGGCCTGCCCAGGGCTTCCCACACCTGCGTGGGCTCGTGACCCATTATTCCACAGGGTGACCCAGAACTCCTCCTGTCCACTCTCAGTGGTCCAGCAGGTGGCGCTGCAGGGCCACCTGCCGTCCAGCTCACTGGGGCTTGGAGCCGGCTGGCGTCTTGGGCCAGGCTGGGTCAGGCTCTCCCTGGAGTCAACTGGGTGGAGCTTGAGTGTGGGGAGGCCGGAGGGTTGTCCGCCCTGGACAGCAGTCAGCTTCCTGCCCAACCTGAAATGCGTTTCAGCTTAAACAGCGTCCAGTCAGAGCCAACCAGCCACTGGGGACAAGAGGGCGTCCTGGGACTTGGGCTCTGAGTTGCAGCAGGGGTCTGCCCCACCTCCCAGGAGCCTTCCTCCTCGGACAGGACGTGGGTCTGGGGGGCTGTCAGGGAGCAGCTCCCCCCGCCCTGGATCGCGCCTGGGCTGGAAGAGGCAGGTGTGAGGGAGAAGACAGGCCGGGCTTTCAGCCAGGCGGAGGGAGGGGCAGGGAGGTGGCGTGGCAGCAGCTGCCCCTGGAGTCACGCGGGAAGGGCAGGCGGCCCACGGCTGGAGCTGGTGCTTTTCGGAGCTGAAGTGACGGGCGGGGTCCGTGTGAGAACCAGAGGCTACGAGGGCAGTGGCCTCCAGCCTGGCTGCTCCGGCCGGCCTTGGCTGGCGTTGCAGGTGGGACACGGGCTGCTGGAGGCAGAGCTGGGGTTGCACACCTGCCTGGGAGTCGGAGGGGGAGGGGCATTGCTGTCTGCGCAGCTGAGGGTGTCAGAGCCCCCGGGGCAACACTGGGGCCTGGGCCCCTCCTCCTTTCACTGCCAGGCACACCAGTGCTGGTGGCTGCGAGTCCTGCTTCCAGACTCAGCCAGGGATAGCAGGGGAGGCAGTGGGAGAGGCCTGAGTGACAGCTCGGACACACAGGACTGACCAGCCAGGGAGGCAGTGGGAGAGGCCTGAGTGACAGCTGGGACATCCCGTCCTGCGCCCTGACTTTGGCTCGGGGTGGGAGACGCTGCTCCTGCCAGGGATGGAGGCCAGAGCCTGCAGGCGCTGGGGGTGTGGACAGTGGCCAAAGCGTGGGCTGAGCGGCTGTTTGTGGGCCCATCAGAGCAGGCGGGGTCAGCACCCTGGACAGCTCCACACACCCCACACCCCCCCCGTGCCCAGCTCTCAGCAGAGGCCCAGCCTCCAACTCCAGCCCTGCCCCCAGCCCACTGGGGAGGGGTCCCGAGGGCACAGGGGCTTGGCCCTCCCCCCTGCCTGGTGCAGGAGGGTTTGACGTATGAGTGGTAAACCAGCAAGAGTGAAGAGGTGGGGCTGTGCCCCGTTTCTTACGCTCCCGTGCAGGTGAACTCCAGAAGGTTCTGGGCTAAGGCGCCTGTGTGGGTCTGCATGACCTGCTTGCTCCAGTGTCTCTGGGGAGGGAAGCTAGGCTGCCCCCGCCCCAGGGTGTGGAGACCAACACCCAGGTCCCGGGGCCGGCCCTGGCCCTCCACGGCCTCTGCAGTCCCCGTAGCCAGGATGCCTTGCTGCTGAGAGGGAAGATGGCTTAGACACCTGCGCCACGCCTGCGCCACACCTGCACATTTGTGTCACACATGCACATTTGTGTCACACCTGCACATTTGTGTCACACCTGTGCCACACCTGCGCCACACCTGCACATTTGTGTCACACCTGCACATTTGTGTCACACCTGTACCACACTCGCACATTTGTGTCACACCTGCACATTTGTGTCACACCTGCACCACACACGCACATTTGTGTCACACCTGCACATTTGTGTCACACATGCACCACGCCTGCACATTTGTCACACATGCACCACACAGGCACATTTGTGTCACACCTGCACCACACATGCACATTTGTGTCACACCTGCGCCACGCCTGGCCCTGCACCCACCCTCACCTCCTTCCCCTCCTCCTCACCTCTCCATCTGTCCTTGCGTCCCCTGTAGGCTCAGTCCAGCAGGAGGGAGGAGACGGTGGGCCTCCTGGCCTTGGGGTCTGGGACAGCAGGGGCAGGGCTGAGCTGCTGCACTGCTTCTGGGCGGCAGCAGTGTGGGGGTGGGCGGCCGGGACGGCCCTTGTGAGCGGGCTCTGTCTCCTGTGCTGCTTTCCGGGGGGCCTCAGCGTGACCCCCTCGCACTGCGGCTGAATCAGAAGGGCCTCAATTTCCCCATTTGACACATGATGTTAACCCTGCTCAAGATGCATTGTGGTGAGCAAAGTCAGGCTGGAGGTCTGCGGCACGGGGAGAGTGGCGGGGAGCTGCCGCCACCCAGCCCTGTCCCACCCGGATCCCAGGCCCTGCCCCTGTCCCCTGCCCCCTGCCCAGATGCCAGGCCCTGTCCCCTGACCCTGTCCCCTGTCCCTTGCCCCCATCCACTGCCCCTGTTCCCAGCCCTTGTCCCCTGTCCCCTGCCCCTGCCTGGATCCCAGACCCCGCCCCTGTCCCCGCCCGGCTTCCAGGCCCTGTCCCCTGACCTTGTTCCCTGCCCCAACCCGGATCCCAGGCCCTGCCCCCGCCCCTGTCCCCTGTCCCCTGACACCTGCTCCTGCCCCTCCCCAGCCCCGTCCCCATTCCCTGCCCCTGCCCAGATCCCAGGCCCTGTCCCCTGCTCCTGTCGCTTGTCCCCTGCCCCTGCTTGAATCCCAGGCCCTGTTCCCTGTCCCCATTCCTGCCCTTGTCCCCTGTCCCCTGCCACTGCCCAGATCCCAGGCCCTGTCCCCTGACCCCTGCCCCTGCCCTTGTCCCCTGCCCCCACCCAGATCCCAGGCCCTGCCCTCACCCCTGTCCCCTGACACCTGCTCCTGCCCCTCCCCAGCCCCGTCCCCTGCCCCTGTCCCCTGCCCTTGCCTGGACCCCAGGCCTTGTTCCCTGCCCTTGTCCCCTGTCCCCTGCCACTGCCCCCATCCACCACCCCTGTTCCCAGCCCTTGTCCCCTGTCCCCTGCCCCTGCCTGGATCCCAGACCCCACCCCTGTCCCCACCCGGATTCCAGGCCCTTCCCCTGACCTTGTC